TGCAGCGAAGGTTTAAATCTGTTTATTATTTGTGGTGACATTTCAAAATTAACTCCCACGTCCTTAGCTTTGAAATGTTAAGCTGTGGTTTAACAAAAGCTTTTTTAAAAAAATAAAATACTGTAGTGGAGTTAAACCAAGTGACTTGTCTTGTCTCAAATGGAGGAGGTCAGTTGGGGGCCTCCTTGTTTGGAAATGCTCATCTTTCCTAAAGGTCAACTGGACGGGGAAATTGCATTGAAAAGATAATCCTCTTTTGAAGTGTTAGGGAAAACAGCAAAAACCTGTTGTAAAGAAATGCAGTACACGGAGAAGGCAGTCATTATAACCAACAGGTTTGTTTTCAGACAAGGTGTGAGCGTGCTGCGATATTCTGTGCTTTGCAACAAAGTGTGCAAAGTTTATCCGAGAATTTTGACAGGTTACTATGTGTGACACTGTTGATCTTTGTCGGCCATTTAAAAACCAGCCACTTTCCTTCTTATTCTCCCAGTTGGGTTAAATATGTTAAAATTAGGTGCATGTTAAATCAGAAATAAAATAAAATGCAAATTTATGGAACCAAATAGATTGGAGCACTGAATAGGAGGAATCATCGATAATATTTCCTGTTGGGCGTGGATGTATTATGTACTGTATTGGCAGTGCCCGCACCCTGGAAAAAAAACCCCACCAGTGCTATATCTGTACGTGGGGAATAATCATAAGTCCTCTGAAACATGGGTAGAAGGAGTCTGCTTCCTGATCCTCCTCCAATCATGTCTTTTTAGCAGTTCCCCTTGGATTCAAAATCGAAAAGTACTGCACTCAGGATGCCTTATCCTAAAATAAAGATCAGTTCCTTAAATAACATGAATGACCAAAGAAGAACTATATGCACACAATCATACACAATGCCTTATCTGATGAACTTTGTTCCTGTGTCATAACACCCTGTTCAGCTCAAGCAAGACCTCTGAGTCAACAAGGGTGACCTTGGCTTTTTAAAATATGTGCTTTGAATGTTTTCGACAGTAAATGCAGTCTAGAGCTGTTTCGCTTACTAGGCGGGCAGAGACAGGTGTCTCCACCTGAACCTTAATACTGTGATTTTTTAAAATGTTGTCCCTATCAGTGTTTCTTAATGTTCACAGTAATCAAAATATCCTTAGAGCACATGGGTATTATGTCAATGAAATGATGAAGTAGCAAATGACTCTTGCAATTTTTAGAACAAGAGCCCTATTGGACAGTATAGAAAGCTGTCTTATTCTTAGCCCAATAACACATCAATGTGGTAACGTCACTCTGCCCCTCAATTCAGCTTCAACTGATGATTACATCGGACTTCCGCTAAGATGGTGAACTGAGAACCTAAAGGTGCAAAACGGCACCACAAAACACACAAACGCAAGCAGGAAAAGAGGGGAAAGGACCAGCCTAATCCTTGAGGTAAAGAGAGGGGAGAAAGAAGAGGAAAGACTGTGGAGCACCAAGCAAAACACAGAGGAAACTGATGATTAAATAATTAGGAAGCACCTAGGAGATAGAGCTTGTGCATGGATGTACACAAAAGGATATAAGAACCGGCTGGATCAGGGCAATGGCCCGTCTGGCCCAGCATCCTGTTCCCACAGTGGCCAACCAGATGCCTGTGGGAAGCCAGGAAGCAGGACCCAAACACAAGAGCAGTCCACCTTTCTGTAACTTTCAGCAACTGATATTCAGATGCATGGCAAGGGACGCAGGTGGCGCTGTGGTCTAAACCATTGAGCCTCTTGGGCTTTCTGATCAGAAGGTTGGCGGTTCAAATCCCCATAATGGGGTGAGCTCCCGTTGCTCTGTCCCAGCTCCTGCCAAACTAACAGTTCAAAAGCACGCCAGTGCAAGTAGATAAATAGGTACCACTGTGGCGGGAAGGTAAATGGCGTTTCCTTGAGCTCTGGTTTCTGGCACAATGTCCCATTGCAGCAGAAATGGTTTAGTCCTGCTGGCCACATGACCTGGAAAGCTATCTGTGGACATATGCCAGCTCCCTCAGCCGAAAGCAAGATGAGCGCCACAACCCATCGTCGCCTTGGACTTAACTGTCCAGGGGTCCTTTATGTTTACCTTATTCAGATGCATGACTGCCTCCAAACACTGAGACAGCTTAGCCATCACAGCTAACAACCACTGATAGCCTTATCCTCCATTGATTTGGCCAGTCCCCTTTTACAGCCATCCAAGTGGATGGCCATAAGCAGTAAGTACATGGGGTACTTATTGATTCTGTAGTGTGAACCTTAGTTCACGAGGGAAATATGCAAGTACTGAAGCAGTTAAAATAATGGGTGGGTTTTTCACCTTCTCCCACAACCTGAAATGAGAAAACGAAAAGTTTGGTTCTTTTTAATCATGAAGTAGTTCCTAAGCAATTATAAATGGATCCAATAAGAACAATGCTTAAAACTATGTCTAAAATTACAAATGCATAGCAATGGCAAAATCCTCAGCCCCTCTGCTAATCTGAGTGGCAGCCAACAGTTTTGGGAGTTGCTGAAATGGCAAGCTCACTGACAGTGTCAGGAGATGATACAAATGGATGCATTTTGAGAAATGTATGGTGTCCTTTTATTACCTATTCTAAAGTTTAATATAAAAAGAGCATAAAGTTTCATGATAGTATTAATGGTCTGTAAATAATTTTCTTTCATATTCATGTAATTTTATTAATTTTTGCAAGAAAGTAGGTCCAACTGGAAGGGAAAGCTTCCTTATAATGCACCTCCTTCTGTCTTAGCATTCACTGGTTATAATTTAGAGGCTCACCAAGGAGGAGACAGATGGCTTCAAATCAATATAACATTATGCACATAATGTCAGTATCTCCCTTCAGTCACACCACCCCTGTTGAGTGAACATGGCGAAGGTGTGCTAGCTTCCACAACTTGTAAGCCATTTATGATGTGGCTAGGACCCTATCCAGATGCTTTTTTCTTTGACTCTTCATCATATTTCCAGGTGCCTGGACATGAAGCAGGAACACTCAGACTTGAAAACTTTCGTAGAGCAAGAATGTACTTCGGGGATTGTTCATAAGACCACTAATCCAAATTGAGTTGCCAGTTAAGTGCATTCCAATCACTCTTCAGTTCATATAATTTATGTGGTGAAAGAAAAGTGCCCAGGGCTTTTCCATAGCTGTGGTTTCTAATCCATGTTAATTAGTGTGAGAGACACCAGATTAACCTGGATTGTTCTCTTATATTTTTATTGTGTTTCCAGTTATAAACAAGAAAAGGCACAACTGGCAAATTAAATTAAAGCTGTCCTCAAGGATCTAGCAATAGAATGAACAATTAACCTGTACCTTAACCCCCTTATCTGCCCTGTTTCCACAGCCATAGTTTACAAACTATATTTATAAATGATTGGATCCTGCATGAATGCAAGGGCTCCATCCATTTCTGGAAAAGATGATGATCAAGGGGAGGCTAGAAGGGAGGGGGAAAAACATTTTTCCCTTGCAGATTCATCTTCTCCCGAGCCACTTTCTATGTAGTCATGGTCCTGATCCAAACTGGGTCATCCATGACTACTTCAGAGCAGATTTCTCAGGGGGCTGCAGAGAGTGGGGAGAAAGAGAGGCGGACAAGATTAATCTATGCCCCTCTTTATGAGTGGGACTGTGGACAACAGGAAATACTGCAATTAATGGAGATCACAGTCAATGGACTAGTTATTGTGCAGTTGATTAGGCATGGAAACAAACCCAAAAGGAGGGAATGGATTTGTTCAACGGATGACTAATGGAACTTCCTAAGAGTAACCCAGAACCAGAATGAAAACTTCTTTTTGTATACTACACACATTGAAAAGGAAGAAAGTACTTTCATATGGATAAATTCAATCCTAAATCAGCTAGACAGGGAGGTAATGTCTCACCGTGTGTTTTTGGCAATACAGCTGCTCTGGATCATCCAGCCCTTTTTAGTAAACTGGAAACTGATGACATACCACACCTAAAAGATTGCAGACATATCCAAAGAGAAGATAAGCAATTGTTCAGCAGACGTCTATTATTATTTTTTATCATGGCAGCTTAACAACGAACACTTCCTCATTCAAATCCAGTGATTTTTTAGCTTTGAGCCAAGAACTGTGTCAGAACATTTGGGAGGTGTAGGAACTCGTGGGTAATTTAGGTTCTGATCTGAACATCTGCCAAGGGGGTGGATGAGGTTGCTTCATATCAAATTTCACAAACATTAGTTACTTCAAGCATCCGTACTCTGAACCAGGGAACATGGACACTTACCAACATCCAGATTCAGATCTGGAGTTGTCAATGTGATGCCACCCTGATGCTGTTTGAAACCATCTTTTATCTGCCTCAGCCAGCATAGCCACTGGTCAAGAACGATGGGAGTTCCAGTCCAACAATATCTGGAGCACATCATGTTGACCACCCCTGATTTAGATCCTTCCAGACTTTCAGGAACTGTACACCAGTTACTAACAAGGAAGGCATTATTCCCTCAATCAATACACACACACACAGGTGGGTTAAAAGTGACTACTGAGAAAGAATAGCATTAGGAAAAGCAAGTTCGTGGTTTAAAAGCTATGAGGACTGCAGCCGGCCAAAGGGAATTTGTTCAAGAACTGTGAGTGTAGTGCTCATGCAGAGAATTTCTAAAAGCAAAGCCGGCATTGTAAACTTGTGTAGGTGCTCAGAAGAGCCATTATCTCTGTCTTATCTCTCTAATTGACTGAAGCAAGAGCACTGATTTGGCCACCAAAAGCAATTGTAAAATAAAAACAAAAATTCCAGATGTGTATCTGGAGAACAAACCCACCTTTAATTAAAAGATTGATCGTGCTTGGATGCAATAATAATAAAAAAATAGAGCTTCCCATCAATGAATAAAAATACGTTAGCGAAGATAACTCAGGCTTGGCCTAGAGACCATTGTTTAAAAGTTGTGTGGAATCAGACGGGGGAATTAAATAATTGCCTCAGAAGACCCCAACCGGCGATGGGAAATGGGATCTGTCCAACGGAAAGTCGAGTGGCCCTGCAGTGTGATGGCTGTAGAAGCATCAGTAGCAGCGGCTCACAACAACGACACACCAGCTCAGTCTTGAAACAGCAGCAAGATGAAAGAAAAGAAAAGGAGGCAATGTATGGTAGGTTTCCACTCCAGCACAGCAAGCTCTGAGGCCTGATAACAACAAAGAGAGGAAAGCCCAAGCTTTGGTTATGTGTAGATTCACTCATGTTCAAGGACGTTGTGTGGGCCATGAACCATAGGCAGTTGACAGCCCCCCCCCCCGACTGAGGTTTTATGCTCTTTGAATATTTTAACCAGCTGTAGTACAAAACATGTGGATTGGCAACAGGCTAGGGAAAGCTGACCTAAAACATTATTCATTTCGTATGTGTGAGATTCTGGCCTTTCTTATCCGCAGTTAAGCCGTCTGTGTGGCCTTGAGCAAGCCTCTTAGCGTAACCTACTTCAGGGTCTGCTTGTGAGGATAAATCAGTTAGTATATTTAAATAGTTTGTACTCTGACAAGGCGGCTCTATCCAAGATTCCCTAGTAATATGTTTAATGCTATGAAATACTGAAAAAAGTTTGCAAATGGTAATGCCAAAGAGGACAGTCCACAAATTATGTCAACGCTATCTACCGAGTTACCACATGCATACAAAGGAACTGTTCCTTGCAGTTTCCTATTTGCCTTCCCTTTCAGTTTCCTCTCCCCAAATAGACTGCAAAGATCAAGAAGGGGGTGGGGGTGGATCTTGCATGCTACAGTCACTGTCGTTAGGGGTAGGTGAATCTGTCTATTTAAGTTCCTCGTTTCTCCAGTCTTTAAGTTTTGTTAATATACTCCTAATATATGCATTCTTGCAAAGCAAATTCTTCTTATATAATGCATCTCTCTGTGTGTGTGTGTGTGTGTGTGTGTGTGTGTGTACTTTACCTTATTACATGCATTTCTTTACACATTACTTTACCTTATTACATGCATTTCTTTACACATTACTTGGCTGGACAATTGCGCTGCAGAATTCAGAGGAGGGCAGATTTCAAAGGACGGTTGTGGTTTGGTTTGAGTATTCTTTTTGAAAGTGGAAATTAAGTATATTCTCCATTAAATGCAAGCTTCTTAAATGCATTTCTTCCTGCAGCCCTAACTCTCATTTAGCATTTTGACCTCCATCCATCTAATCTAACATTTCTTGAAAAATTAAATCCTGGAGATATATCAGAATCTGATAGTGAGCCATTTATACAAATATTGCCTTCCTTCTCTGCTCCTTATCACCTGGAAATATCTTGTGGCGGATGTAGTTGCTTTGTAGAATGTGGTTTGGAGCAAACTAAGACTTTCCAGGTGTTGCGGGAAAGTCAGAAGGTGATAAAGGATACCAGTGTTCAATTTTTCTTCTGTTGATTCGTTTCCAGGATCTGTCAGTTCAGCCCACCCCACCCCCCAAGATGGCTTTAACTGCATTTCTGGCAGTCTGCAGAGCAGGTGACAATCTGAACTCATTTCCTTCCTTTCTATCTAATAACCTCTTGTCAGAGCAGAGGAAGGGAGAGTTATTCTCTTAACTTCCTTCAAAGGGTGAAGCAAAGGTTATTGACTGATATTTCCCATGCATTCTTCACTGCATGCAGAGCCGGCTGCAATTCCCCCCTCCCCACCTGACATCATCAAGGGTTCACGCAAAAGATGAAGGGATTCTGAGATTAGTTCACCTTCTTAGCATGCTACAGAGAATTTCATAGTTCATTATCTCACTCCTCCACCAGCAAAATTGTGACGACTGACAAGAAAGGATTACGCCCTGCGAAAATTTATTGGCAAGCATCTGAACAAGAAGGGAGGACTCCTTACTCCTTTGCATTTTGTGAGAAGCAAGGTCAACAAAAAATCCCACACATTCAGGATCCATAGAGAAACGACCCCACAGATGCCAGGACTCTTGTGTAAGTGTCTGTCTTAGGTTTCCTGTTCCATACCTAGACATATGTCCAATAATTCCCAACGTATGAATGGCTGCATTCACCCGATGTTACGGAATGAACTGTAAATCTGGAGTTGATAAAGCGGCTCCTCAGGATCCTCAAGTGCAATTTGATTTATCCTAGGGGTCGCTCCACGAGAAGACAACACTTTGAGGGCAGGTTTGGAAGTGCATTCGGTATGTTTCTGAACAGAGCAGGAATGTGCACAGTTGCCAGTGCCAGCCACACAGTCTGCATTCCAAATAGTGACAGAGAAATATGTCTTGCAACTTTGCTACAGGACAAGGGTGCAGAGTCTATGGCCTGCCACATGTTTGTTGGACTACAGGTCCCATCTCCCCTGATCATTGGCCATACTACCAGTGGCTGATGGGAGTTGTAGTCTGACAACATCTGAAGAGTCACAGATTCCCTTCTTTTCTTCCATGCATAGAAATTAAGAATTAGAACCCCTTTTTCCAGAACCATGGTCCTGATCCAAACTACACACACACACACACACACACGATCACCTAACAAAAAACTAAAGAGATAGAAAGTCTAATCATAGATCTAGCCTGAACCTGGGTCACAGTAGCAATTTGAATTGTTGACATCATGCCTGGTCCAGTTGAGTCTGTTCATGGGCTCCTCCAGCTTTGGAACAATCACAGATTGGAAGCAATGCAGTATGTCTGCCATGAAACTTTTGCAGGAGCAAACAGTAATGAAAGTGGAATAACATCTAACTGTCCCGATACCATCCTGAGCATAAATTGTCATGAACGAGCAATCAATAAGATGTATGAAGAAGCTCCATAGTAGTAGACCAGAGGCTGTTAACTGTCTGGAATGGGTGTTCTGTTGGAGCTGAGAGTGGGTGTAAGTCCAACTCTGTGCCTGAAGGGGGAGCCCTCTGGAGGCCACCTGAGCTTTCCTGAATCAAGAGGTGGGGACAATGACAAAATATCTGAACAATTGTAGTTGTATACAAATTCTGAAAATGAACTCATTTAAAAAGGTAACACACCATCTCACAAACCACGTTTCTCCCAATTTTCCTTGAGTGAACAGGGCAATAAAGGTCATCCAATCTGGGGAGAGAAAGGGGAGAAAAAGTGTTTGGCCTTTTGCAGAAGTGATAGGTGAAATCCAGCCTGACTCTCACAGCAACTCGTGATTAGTGCAAACTCCATGGAAGCTGGCTGGAGGAATGCTTTGGCTTTTTAAATTATTTTGACAAGGAATAGAACAGAAGACACAGAAGACAAAATCTGCTTGCTTATATGACTTTGCACTCTGAAATCTTGAATTCAGGTTTGAAATATTTGTTACTGTTTCATTCGGCTGAAAAGTTCAGCCCAGTTGTATGGCAGATTGTGTGTTGTGTCCCTTCCAAAATAGCATTATGAAACAGGGAAAGAGAATGCCAGAGAAGCACACATTGTCACACCCTGCAGATACAGTAAGGAAGAGCATCTCAGCCTCGGTTCAGAAGAGGAAAACAATGTATGTCAGAGTGGTTCCGTGCCAGTGGCCTGACATTTCCTATTGCTGCAACAGAAGGCTGGTAACTCCACCATAAGGTGGAACAGTCAGAGGAAACTCTGTTTGGAACCCAAGTTATGAAGATGGGTGGCTTTTTTTGTCTTTTTAAAGGTTCTATCCCTCTTCAGTTTCAGATGCCAAAAATATCAAGCGCATGAGAGGAAAAAAGCACTAACTTATTTTAACTAAAGCCTTTGCTACTTGAAAAGATTCCTTTTCATTGCCACACAATTGACAGGATTACAGAGACAGCACAGTACAAACTCTTTGATCTCAATCTCTTGCTTTCTGTCTTGTCAACATGCGCTCACAGTATGGAACATGGTGAATTATTGCCAATGCGTTTCCCATTTTCTCTATGCTAGAAGTAAAAAAAGCAATTCAGAAACCATCCCTAGAAGGAATAGATTTCAGTTATGTTGTAGCAACAAAATATGTGAACTTGTGATGATGAGAACGCTCTACTAATGCAGGACTGATAAAATGCATTCTGCACCTGGATTTGATCCCAGAGACGGGTTTCCCTCAGTTCCTTATTTTGGTTTCCCCCAGTTCTTTATATTTCCAGCCAGTTGTCCACATTTCCACATCAGTTTGTGACTGTTTTTAATTTTAAAAAGTCCAGATGACAATTCATTATGAGTCCCCCAATTTTTTTTGGGGGGGGGGCTGGTGGAGGGGCAGGTTTGGCACTCTAAGAACCCCTTGTGGGAACCACAAAATGCCTATTTCACAGAATAAAAACTGGTGTTGCTCAGAACACTCCACCTCAACAGGCAAAACATTATTATCTCCCCACAAACAAGCAAAAAAAAAAAAAAATGATGAAAAAGTAAGACAACAATCCCCCTCAAACAAACCACCCAAAAATTGATTGCCGTATTTTTCCGTGCATAAGACTAGGGTGTTGTTTTTTTTTTTACCAAAAAATTAGGTTTAAAATTGGGGCTCGTCTTATACATGGGTAGTGCTGAGGGGTGCTTTCTTAATTTCGAGTCCCCCAAAATAGGGGAAAATAAGGTAAATAAAAACTCAATTTAAAAAACAAATTTAAAAATGGGAGGGACCTGAGGGGGCCATGGGGAGGTAACTGGCAGAGCCACTGTGCTGAGTTGGGGATCCCGACTGTAAGTAATCTGACTCATATGCACCTCTTCAAATCTGCTATTATTACAATTGCAAGTCAAGATTCTGGATCTCAGTACCAGTGTTCAGTAGCAGCATAATAGCACAACAAAGGAGTTGGCTGCTGTTTGGGATATTTGAATCAACTTTTCTGTTCTTGTACTTCAGAAGGGGAATTCAGAGCAAAAAAAAAGCTTATCTTCCTCTAAAGCTTTAACCAGAGTGCAGTTTCATAAATCATTTCAAGTAATCAGACACAATCAAATCTGAGCTTTCAGTGCACAGTAGAAATAATGTGCAGGCACAGATAGTTTTAGGTTGCTTTACTTTGTGCCAATAAATCTGCCATTTGCAATAGCGTTTCTGCCAAGAGAATCCCTTCGGATTTGGTCAGCTTTGAACAGAGGATATAAGAAAAGACTATACAAATATTTCAGTTTTATCCTAGTTCCTTTTTTGCGCTAGCTTTTGTCAACCAAAGCAAACATTCTTTAAATGGTTCCTGCATCAAATACAATATGTGAATG